AGGGCAGATCGTATTTAGAAAATTTGCATAGCCGAAAGACATCTAGTGCCTGGCTGGATTGAACCCTGCCTATAGGATTTTGCTTGTGCTTCCCGCCGGATAATCCTTTCAAATGCCGGTTAACATACCTGCTGGACAGCGTTCGATGCTCCGATAATGTCTGCTTGTATTACCTGCAGTGCGTACACAAAATTCCATCATTTTGTGGCAGATTGCTTCATTAACTTTGGTGCCTGATGGCAAAAAAATTGTCAATCGGCAGAACGACTCCTAGATATATTTTTGGACGTATACGTGAGTATTCGCATGGTTCTACATAGGAGGTATGTGTAGTATGCGACAGGAATTTTTTAGAAATATGTCAGAAGAGTCTAAACCTTTATTTCCGTGGTAGTCCCTTCGCGGGGAGTTTACACTGTGCGACTTTAAATCAGCGTAAACAAGCGAAGATGCAGGCTGTATTTGGACAGTGACAGGGATTTTTGCAGTCTCACAAAAATATTTAGCATTTTTATAATTTAATACTAATCGTGTACATGTTTTGAACATTTTATGCCCAATTTACCGAAAATTTCCCTTAAAAAGAAGAAATATAAGTAGGATCTACTAGCTAATTAGTCATTTGTTTCGAAGCTGAAAAGAACTTCAACCCAAACTCAACATATTTCGCTCTATGGGCTGACTGGAGATTATTAACCAATTACACATGAATGATACGAATTTGAATCAGTGTTTGCAGGCCTTTCGCACCTCTCATATGCATAACAAACATGGTCGTAAACTGACGAGATAACTTGGCCCTCGTGGTCGTTACTGTGTGCGTGTGGAGTGGCTGAGTTGAGGGCGGAGGATTGAGATCATTGGCTCAAAAGTCGAAAGCCTATAACTTGTTCCAAAGTCCTACAACGGCACTGTGACATGGCGACCGTGAACCGCCATTAAATCAGTTCGCTTGCTACCGCTGCCCTGTGGTTGGACTATTGAGCCAAAGCGCTAAAGGAAAAGACCACGAACAACCAATCCGAGCTGCTGT